TATATATATATATATATATATATATATATAAAATCATTTAACACTGATTCATTTTACTTCAGCTTCAGGCTCTCCACCTCAAATCTCTGTTGAGGGTTATCAGGATGGAGGGATCCGAATGGTGTGTCAGTTGGCTGGATGGTACCCAGAGCCCGAGGTGCTGTGGAGAGATTGCAGTGGGCAGCTTTTATCGTCCTCTACTAAAACAAAATCCAAAGATGAACGTGGGCTCTTTGAAATAAAAAGTTCTATCATTATAACAGAAAATTCAAACCAGAATTTATCCTGTTCTATAAGGAACGCTTACGTCAACCTAGAAAAGGAACCCTCAACTTTTTATTTATCAGGTGAGTTACCACCAAAACCAAACACTGATATCCCAAACTGGAAAAAAAAAAAGAAGAAATAAAATCTAGGTTGCTAAATAATACAAAACTTAACATATTTCCTCACAAAAAACTACATTAAGTTAAGGTTCAGAACACAATTTAGGGTAAAATACACTCCAGGGATATAGTAATTATCCCAGAAACAAGCAATTTTGACACAGGAAATTCAGAATTAAGGTTAAATTTAAAAGAAATCCAAATGTATTTCTGCATAGAAATGCCCTATGGATATGATTATAATAAAAACATGATGGTTGGTGTTTGAAGTCCCATATAAGAATAAACTGGTATTTTATTTATATCTCTTTTTATTAATGTATGTTTAAGCTGAAATTAGATTTCTTTTTCTCATACAGCCACCACAGGGCAGTGTTAAAGTATATTGGGGGCCCTACTGATTGGTTGGACTTTCTGCCTCCTGGTGGTCTGGTGGATCAAGGACTAGGCTTCTTGCCCCAGTGACTATGGAGAGGGAGATGTGATGTGCTGTGGTCTCTTCAACATAGAGGAAATTTGACTGTTGAGTCTCTGGCTCATGAAGGGTCAGAAGCAAGGCAGGTCCAAGAAAGTCTGGAGCCCTGGGAACAGTCATTTGAGTGTGTCACTCACTACAAGGTCCACGTTTTCATTTGAAATTTGATTTCTCATCCTCTAGCAAACTTCACACAGGGGAGGGGGTTGCCATAACAACGAAATGCTGTGGGCCTGATCCAAAGCCCATTAAAGATGTTAATAGGATTTGGATCAGTTCCTACACATCCATTTAGCAGATCAGCTCCTATGCCAGTGAAGTGAAGAGTATTTTAATATTGATCTGCCCTCCATTAATTATTTATTTCCACTCTTAAATCATCAGATTTTCTTTTACTATGGAAGTTTCTTGCTGTTACAAAAGTTTTAATTTTACTTAAATGTAAGTTTTCTGTTGGGAAATGTAATGATTACCTATAATTTCTCTTCCTACATGTTTTAACTGGAGAATTAATTTCATGAAAAGATGGAAGCACTTTCCCCTGAGTTGGCTCCTGGGTTGGATGATGGGTTCAGAAGCCCAGTTATCCAACAACATGAAGACTGTGCATAAGGACAACCAGAATTAAAATATAAACACACAAACTCACAATGTGACCGCACACAAAACACCTTAAATTGGATTAAAAAGTTAGTAAATACCAGCATTCAGGTTCCCTGTGCATTCTAAATTTGGCCCCTTTTTCTTTATGCACTATGATACAGTTTCTAATACCATGATCACATATTATTTCCCCTTGCCTTCAAAAGGGCCACTGAACTGCCGTACCCATGAGACCTTCCTTTCTCTTCCTGGAATTCTCTGCCTTATTCTTTCCACACTTTCCTGCTTGTGAAAGAAATGAGGCCAGGGTCCTACAGGCAACACCCTCCTTCATTGCACAACCCAGATTCATCCCCAGAACAGGTGCCTCCAGTGCACTGAATGAGGCAACAGTTCTGGAGGGGGTAGGGGGAAATAGCATGTGAGCATTTAATTAAAGATTGTGTCATAAGGCATATGCACAAAGGGGCTAAATTAAGGTTAACATAAGAACACAAGAATGGCCCTACTGGGTCAGACCAAAGGTCCATCTAGCCCAGTATCTTCTGACAGTGGCCAGTGTCTGGTGCCCCAGAGGGAATGAACAGAACTCGGAATCATCAAGTGATCCATCCTCAGTTGCTCATTCCAAGCTTCTGGCAAACAGAGGCTAAGGACACGATACTGCCCTTCCTGGCTAATAGCCATTGATGGACCTATCCTCCATGAATTTATCTAGTTCTTTTTTGAACCCTGTTATGGTCTTGGCCTTCACAACATCATCTGGCAAGGAGTTACACCAGGTTGACTGTGTGTTGTGTGAAGAAATACTTCCTTTGATTTGTTTTAAACCTGCTGCCTATTAATTTCATTTGATGACCCCTACTTCTTGTGTTACAAGAACTAATAAACAACACTTCCTTATCTACTTTCTCTACACCAGTCATGATTTTATAGACCTCAATCATATCTCCCCTTAGCCGTCTCTTTTCCAAGCTGAAAAGTCCCTGTCTTATTAATCTCTCCTCAGACAGAAGCTGTTAGTACCCCTCATCATATTTGTTGCCCTTTTCTGAACCTTTTCCAATTCCAATATATATTTTTTGAGATGGTGTGACCACATCTGCACACAGTATTCAAGATGTGGGCGTACCATGGATTTATATAAATATTATATTTTTTGTCCTATTATCTATCCCTTTCTTAATTATTCCCAACATTCTGTTTGCTTTTTTGACTGCCTTTGCACATTGAGTGGATGTTTTCAGAGAACTATCCACAATGATTCCAACATCTCTTTCTTGAGTGGTAATAGCTAATTTAGACCCCATCACTTTAGATGTACAGTTGGAATTACGCTTTCCAGTGTGCATTATTTTGTATTTGTCAACTTTAAATTTCATCTGCCATTCATCTGCAACAGCCCAGTCACCCAGATTTGAGAGATCCTTTTGTAGCTCTTCGCAGTCTGCCTGGGTCTTAACTATCTTTAGTAATTTTGTATCATCTGCAAATTTTGCCACCTCACTGTTTATCTCATGTTCCAGATCATTTATGAATATGTTGAATAGGACTGGTCCCAGTACAGACCCCTGGGGGACACCACTACTTGCCTCTCTCCATTCTGAAAGCTGGTTGCACTGTCTCTTTGTCCAACCAAGCTCAAATGTAACCCCACACTCCAGCTCCTTGTCAGATGTGACTCCCCACCCCCTTCCCTGTCCCCCTACTGGTTCCCAGTCCCAGTCTCCTTGTCAGGCCTTGTTCTAGTCTGTCCCTCTGCCCCCTGCTCTTCATCTGGTCTCAGTTCTCACTTTCAGTTCTGCCACTCCCATTTCCCTCACTGGTTCCCAGTCTCCTTACCCAGTGTCCAGTTCCACCTCATTCCCAGCCCCAGTTTCTCTCTCACTCCAGAACCAGTCTCACCAAGCACTTTGTTCCAATCTATTCCTTTACCTCCTTCCAGGTCTAGCTTTCTTTCCTCTTAAATTCTAGTCAGTCACCTTCTATCTCCGCTCTGCCTAGACAGCAGCAGAGTGGGCATGGAGAGCACAGGAGAGACAGGCCCCCTGCTGTCCACTCCAGTGCCTAACCCCACACCAGCTTGGAGCAGCAATTGCAGGGAAAGCTCAGCTTTGCCCTTTTATCCTTGACCTGGAGTGTGGGGATATCATATGTGAAGTCTGGTCAGCAGTAGGGACTGTGAGGGGATGGAGCAGGCTCTTTGTGGACAAAATCTTCAGAGAATTTAACTGCTAAACTCTAAGAACTCTACTGAGTGTGCACAAACTAAAATTTTTCAGAGGCTTATCACTTGGCCAATTATTGGATGGATTTTCACAGGGAAAGGGCACATCCCTGACACAGAAGTCACACCCTGCTGAATATAAAGTTTCTGCTCAAAAGCCTGAGGCACTAAAGCTTCTCCTAGAAAAGGTCATCAGATATTTTTTAAATGTCAAAACAATGTGTTGTTCTCTAATCTCATTCTCAGAAACAGTGGAACCATTTTGGCTGAAACTTGTAAAAAAAAGTTCAACCTGAGGCAGCATAGAACTTCTCTGCCCAGATGGCTAAAGTTTGGCAAAGTAGTGAGCAACTGAAAAGAAGGCCCTATAATTGGAAGGGTGGAGCCACCTTAATAACAGGTGATGTGACCAGGCCCATTTATATATGGTGGCAGAGGTGGGGGGGGTGGCAACGTGGGTCACATGAAGCCCTCGTGTTGGCGCGACGTGGCCCATGCAGGTCCCTCCCCTTTTCCCCCCGTGGCCCATGTGGGCCCCCCCACTTTTCTGGCAGTGCCTCCCAGGCCCTTTTTTCTATTGGTGCCTCTGTATGTTGGAAAGGGGAAGACAGAGACAGGGAGAGGCTGGTAGCACTTCACATAATATTTAATATAGCATTCAATACTATTAAAAGTGTGTGAACAGAACCTCTCTTTAAAATTGGTTTCTGCCAAATTTTATCTTGCAGGGAGCAATTTTTCCCACACTTGTTTCAAACAAATCCTGATGTAATACATTTTTCTAGAATAAAAGTATACACTGTTTGTCATTTCAAACTATAGTATAGTGCAGGGGTAGGCAAACTATGGCACGCGTGCCGAAGGCGGCACACGAGCTGATTTTCAGTGGCCTGGGTCCTGGCCACCAGTCCAGGGGGCTCTGCATTTTAATTTAATTTTAAATGAAGCTTCTTAAATATTTAAAAAACCTTATTTACGTTACATACAACAATAGTTTAGTTATATATTATAGGCTTATAGAAAGACCTTCTAAAAACATTAAAATGTATTACTGGCACGCGAATCCTTAAATTAGAATGAATAAATGAAGACTCGGCACACCACTTTTGAAAGGTTGCCGACCCCTGGTATAGTGTTTATTATTTCTGAACTAATGTGGGCTTTGTGTTTCAGATTTCTTTTTCCCAAGAATGTCTCCTTGGCCGGTGGTTTGGAGTGTGACTCTGGTGATTTGGTTGGTGTTCATCAGCCTTACTCTTTTTCTCTTCAAATTAAGAGGTAAAGCTCTAATGGGGAAAATGCAGTGTAATCAGAATGAGATTTTCTCCTTAGAAAAGACCATAGACTTTTCTACATGAGAAAGTTACATCAGCTTAAGGTATGAAATTAAATGGATTTTGTTAAACCAATGCAATCTGTGTGGACACATCAATTTAAGTGGAGTTTATTTCAGGTTAACTTAAACCTGTTCCTATTCATCTTAAAATAAGCCTACACTTGGTTTGCACCAGTTTAATTAGATTGTCAATGGAGGCTGAGGGAGTTAGATTCCCAACTCCCACTGTAATTCAATGTGGTTGGGTACCCTTGGCTCAAATGAAAATCCTTGCCTTATGAAGTTTCTGTTGTTTAATTCTAGTGTGTTCAAAAGATTATTACAGTATTAATGAATGGCTTGTTATTTTTGTTGTTATCCAGGAATGCCCGTACACAGAGTTTTTCTTTTTTTCACTTTGTTTTAGTGTGTGAGCAAATGTTCAGTCTTAGGGAAGACAGGCTGCATTGTTGTTGTTAGTTTGGGGTTCTGCAAAGTTTCAGGAAGAGGAAGCTGAATGAGAAACAGGAGAGTTTGCTCATTGTCTTGATCTCAGGTTAGAGTCAATTCTTGAGGTATCCATTCTTCAGATTCTCTAGGAACCAAATGTCATGGATCCACACTTCAGCTCTTAAAAAGTCTCTTGGAGGAACCCCTTCAGTCTGCCACACATCCAAAGGATCTCACTCTTCCTTCAGAGTAGGGCTCACTGCCTCATCACCTCCTTAACTGAGTCTCTGGGCTCCAGCACTCAGGGTTTCACACCAAGAGCTCTCCCCGGCTAGTCTACACTTAGACTCCTGAACAGAGGCTTGTATGTGCTTCAGGGACTTATGTGCCACAGCAAGTATTTGCAGTGACATAAAATGGCCTTTTCAAAAACAGTAGGATGTATCAGTCAACTGGCATCAATTCTTGGCGTTCCCTGGGAACCAAGCCCTGGTGCCAGGTGAAGATCTTGAAAGAAAGGATTGCCTGTGTGCTGTTTGTGACCATCTCTGTTCTAGGACAGGTCTATGTGTGTAAATAAATCAAATTGCACTTAGAAAATACCCAACTCTGTCACTGATTTCTCTTCCACTGGGTACCCAACCTGCAAGTCCCTGGAGAGCTGCAATGGCTTGGTAGAGCAGCATCATTATTATTACACAAGGACTCATAATGAAAAGATCCTTTTAAATCTAGAGTCACTGAAAACGTGCCTACATAATTTTATTTATATTTTCTTTTTTAGGGAAACATCTCGACACTATCAGTAAGTTCCATTTTCTCCTGGTAGAACCAGTGTTATGCTCTGAAAGATTTTTGAATGAATGTGACAATGTCAACTTGAAAATAATAAGTAATACTAATTGCATAACTTGTTATATCGGTAATGGGTAGGAACCCAGTATTGTACATGTGTCTTCAGGAGGCAGCATGGTGTGGGGGGGACTGTGCACTTGATGCCCATGGCAGAAATTACTCCATGCCAGCGCCATAAAAAGAACTTCTGAGAGGGACTGGTGGCAGCCCAGGATCGAAGAGAGGATGTGGTCACCCGAGTCAGGATTCTGTGCACTGAGTGCCCACAGCCCTGGCATGTAGGTGAGGCATGTGAGTTATAAGTCTGACCTTTCACCCAGCTCAAGGCTAGCATAAAGGCCACTGATGGAGTTCTGGGCTGCCTTCTGCCTTTCCTTGTAGAGCTGCATCTGGTCAGACCCCTAATGCAGCTACACCAGTATGAATCCTAGAATATGAAGGTTGGAAGGGACCTCAGGAGGTCATCTAGTCCAACCCCCTGCTCAAAGAAGGACCAATCCCCAAATAAATCATCCCAGCCAGGGGTTTGACAAGCCTGACCTTAAAAACCTCTAAGGAAGGAGATTCCACCACCTCCCTAGGTAACCCATTCCAGTGCTTCACCACCCTCCTAGTGAAAACGTTTTTCCTAATATCCAACCTAAACCTCCCCCACTGCAACTTGAGACCATTACTCCTTGTTCTGTGATCTGCTACCATTGAGAACAGTCTAGATCCATCCTCTTTGGAACCCCCTTTCAGGTAGTTGAAAGCAGCTATCAAATCCCCCCTCATTCTTCTCTTCTGCAGACTAAACAATCCCAGTTCCCTCAGCTTTTCTTCATAAGTCATGTGCTCCAGCCCCCTAATCATTTTTGTTGCCCTCCACTAGACTCTTTGCAATTTTTCCACATCCTTCTTGTGGACACAGTACTGGACACAGTATTCCAGATGAGGCCTCACCAATGTCGAATAGAGGGGAATGATCACGTCCCTCGATCTGCTGGCAATGCCACTACTTATACAGCCCAAAATGCCATTAGCCTTCTTGGCAACAAGGGCACACTATCGACTCATATCCAGCTTCTCATCCACTGTAACCCCTAGGCCCTTTTCTGCAGAACTGCTGCCTAGCCATTCGGTCCCTAGTCTGTAGCAGTGCATGGGATTCTTCCATCCTAAGTGCAGGACTCTGCACTTGTCCTTGTTGAACCTCATCAGATTTATTTTGGCCCAATCCTCTAATTTGTCTAGGTCCCTCTGTATGCTATCCCTACCCTCCAGCGTATCCACCACTCCTCCCAGATTAGTGTCATCTGCAAACTTGCTGAGGGTGCAGTCCATGCCATCCTCCAGATCATTAATGAAGATATTGAACAAAACCGGCCCCAGGACAGACCCTTGGGGCACTCCACTTGATACTGGCTGCCAACTAGACATGGAGCCATTGATCACTACCCGTTGAGCCTGATGATCTAGCCAGCTTTCTATCCACCTTATAGTCCATTCATCCAGCCCATACTTCTTTAACTTGCTGGCAAGAATACTGTGGAAGACCATATCAAAAGCTTTGTTAAAATCAAGGAATAACATGTCCACTGCTTTACCCTCATCCACAGAGCCAGTTATCTCATCATACACGGCAATTAGGTTAGTCTGGCATGACTTGCCTTTGGTGAATCCATGTTGACTGTTCCTGATCACTTTCCACTCCTCTAAGTGCTTCAGGATTGATTCCTTGAGGACCTGCTTCATGATTTTTCCAGGGACTGAGGTGAGGCTGACTGGCCTGTAGTTCCCCGGATCCTCCTTCTTCCCTTTTTTAAAGATGGGCACTACATTAGCCTTTTTCCAGTCATCTGGGACCTCCCCCAATCGCCATGAGTTTTCAAAGATAATGGCCAATGGCTCTGCAATCACATCCGCCAATTCCTTTAGCACCCTCAGATGCAGCGCATCCGGCCCCATGGACTTGTGCACGTCTAGTTTTTCTAAATAGTCCCGAACCACTTCTTGCTCCACAGAGGGCTGGTCACCTTCTCCCCGTATTGTGCTGCCCAGTGCAGCAGTCTAGGAGCTGACCTTGTTCGTGAAGACAGAGGCAAAAAAAGCATTGAGTTCATTAGATTTTTCCACATCCACTAAGATGCCTCCCTCATTCAGCAAGGGGCCCACACTTTACTTGACTTTCTTCTTGTTTCTCCCACTGGTTTTTGAATGTTATGATTCCTGATGTCAGATTTGTGTCCATTTATTCTTTTGGGTAGAGACTGTCTGGTTTGGCCAATGTATATGGCAAAGGGGCGTTGCTGGCACATGATGGCATATATCACGTTGGTAGATGTGCAGGTGAATGAGCCCCTGATGGCGTGGCTAATGTGATTAGGTCCTATGATGGTGTTAGTTGAATAGCTATGTGGACAGAGTTGGCATCGGGCTTTGCTGCAAGGATAGGTTCCTGGGTTAGTGTTTCTGTTGTAATCCAGTGGGAGAACACTTCAACCTCTCTAACCACACAGTGACAGACTTGAAGGTGGCAATTTTACAATGAAAAAACTTCAAAAACAGACTCCAAAGAGAGACTGCTGAACTTGAATTAATATGCAAATTAGATACAATTAACTTAGATTTCAACAGAGACTGGGAATGGTTGGGCCATTACACTAATTGAATCTATTTCCCCATGTTAAGTATCCTCACACCTTCTATGGGTCATCTCGATTATCACTTCAAAAGTTTTTTTTCTCCTGATGATGATAGCTCATCTCAATTGATTGGCCTCTTACAGTTGGTATGGCTACTTCCACCTTTTCATGTTCTCTGTATGTATAAATATCTTCTTGCTGTATGTTCCAGTCTATGCATCCGATGAAGTGGGCTGTAGCCCATGATAGCTTATGCTCAAATAAATTTGTTAGTCTCTAAGGTGCCACAAGTACTCCTGTTCTTTTTAAGGATTTCACTGTTAAGCCAAGCTGGTCGCCTACCATATTTACTATTCTTTCTACAAATCGGGATGGTTTGTTCCTGCAACCTCAATAAGGATTCTTTAAAATACAGCCAGCTCTCCTGGACTCCTTTCCCCCTCATGTTATTCTCCCAGGGGATCATGCCCATCAGTTCCCTGAGGGAGTCAAAGTCTGCTTTTCTGAAGTCCAGGGTCCGTATTCTGCTGCTCTCCTTTCTTCCTTGTATCAGGATCCTGAACTTGACCATCTCATAGTTACTGCCTCTCAGGTTCCCATCCACTTTTGCTTCCCCTACTAATTCTTCCTGGTTTGTAAGCAGCAGGTCAAGAAAAGCTCTGCCCCTAGTTGGTTCCTCCAACACTTGCACCAGGAAATTGTCCCCTACACTTTCCAAAAACTTCCTGGATTGTCTGTGCACCACTGTATTGCTCTCCCAGCAGATATCAGGGTGATTGAAGTCTCCCAGGAGAACCAGGGCCTGTGATCTAGAAACTCATGTTAGTTGCCAGAAGAAAGCCTCTTCCACCTCATCCCCCTGGTCTGGTGGTCTATAGCAGACTCCCACCACGACATCACCCTTGTTGCTCACACTTCTAAACTTAATCCAGAGACTCTCAGGTTTTTCTGCAGTTTCATACCAGAGCTCTGAGCAATCATAATGCTCTCTTACGTACAATGCAACTCCCCCACCTTTTCTGCCCTGCCTGTCCTTCCTGAACAGTTTATATCCATCCATGTCAGTACTCCAGTCATGTGAGTTATCCCATCAAGTCTCTGTTATTCCAATGACATGCTTGACTGTGCCAGGACTTCCAGTTCTCCCTGCTTGTTTCCCAGGCTTCTTGTATTTGTGTATAGGCACTTAAGATAATTCACTGATCATCCTGCTGTCTCAATATGAGACAGGAGTCCTCTCCTCTTGTTCTTTCCTGCTCGTGCTTCCTCACAGTATCCCATTTCCCCACTTACCTCAGGGCTTTGGTCTCCTTCCCCTGGTGAACCTAGTTTAAAGCCCTCCTCACTAGGTTAGCCAGCCTGCTTGTGAAGATGCTTTTCCCTCTCTTCGTTAGGTGGAGCCCGTCTCTGCCTAGCACTCCTCCTTCTTGGAACACCATCCCACGGGCAAAGAATCCAAAGCCTTCTCTGCGATACCACCTCCATAGCCATTCGTTGACTTCCACAATTCGATGGTCTCTACCTGGGCCTTTTCCTTCCACAGGGAGGATGGATGAGAATACCACTTGCACCTCAAACTCCTTTATCCTTCTTCCCAGAGCCACGTAGTCTGCAGTGATCCGCTCAAGGTCATTCTTGGCAGTATCATTGGTGCCCACGTGGAAAAACAGGAAGGGGTAGCGATCCGAGGGCTTGGTGAGTCTTGGCAGTCTCTCAGGCCTGGTCTACACTATGAGTTTAGGTCGAATTTAGCAGCGTTAAATCGAATTAAGCCTGGACACGTCCACATGATGAAGCCCTTTTTTTTCGACTTAAAGGGCCCTTTAAACCGGTTTCCTTACTCCACCTCCGACGAGGGGATTAGCACTTAAATTGGCCTTTGCGGGTCGGATTTAGGGTAGCGTGGACGGAATTTGACATTATTGGCCTCCGGGAGCTATCCCACAGTGCTTCATTGTGACCGCTCAGGACAGCACTCTCAACTCAGATGCACTGACAAGGTAGACAGGAAAAGCCCCGCAAACTTTTGAATTTCATTTCCTGTTTGCCCAGCGTGGAGGGCACAGGTGACCATGCAGAGCTCAGCAGCACAAGTAACCATGATGGAGTCCCAGGATCGCAAAAGAGCTCCAGCATGGACCGAATGGGAGGTACGGGATCTGCTCGACATATGGGGAGATGAATCAGTGCTAGCTGAACTCCGTAGCAGTAAACGAAATGGCAAAATATTAGAAAAGGTCTCAAAGGCCATGAAGGACAGAGGCCATAACAGGGACGCACAGCAGTGCCGCGTGAAAATTAAGGAGGTAAGGCAAGCCTACCACAA